GGTGGTTGGAGGAAGGAGAAGGAGAAGAGAAGAAGAAAAGAAGGAGAAAAGAAAGAAAGAGAACACGGAATAAATCATTGTCTTCATTTCATTTTATTTTTCTTCTTTTTCTATTACTTTAGGAGAAGGAGAAGAGAACGATAAGAGAAAGTAGTTGAGTAAGCTATATATATGGAGATAAATAAATGAATTAGTAAACAAGGAGTTATGTGTAGTGATAGATAGATAGATAGATAGACGAATGAAAGAATAAATACATGAATGATGTGTAGTGATGATAGATAGACAGATAGACGAATGAATGAATAAATGCATTAATAGTGTGTAGTGATGATAGATAGATAGACGAATGAATGAATAAATAAGTAGGTAATTAACAAGAAGAGAAGATAGTTGTTGAAGTCAAATAAATATCCATTTTCTTTTCTTTCCTCTTGAGTTTTCTTTCCGTTGTTTCATCTCTTTTCTCATCCCCCTTTTATCCTTTTTATTCCGATTTACCCACCCACTCCTAGCATGCTTTCTTGTCTCTCATTTTTTTCTCTCGTTCTTATCACGTCTTCTTACCTCTCAACACTTTACTCAATTTTCTTGTTCTAATTTCCCCTCCTCCCCTTCTTCCTTCTCCATCTTCATCCACCCCCACAACACCTTTCCCCCTCCTACCCACCTCCTCCCCCGCCCCCACCAACCCACCCCTTTATCACCTCCACCTCCACACTCACCGTCTTACAATCCCACCCCCACGCCTTCTTACCCTTTCACCCACCCACCCTCCCCACCTTCTTCCTCCACCCCCTCCACCCATCCACCCACCCACCTCCCTCCACCACCCACCCACCTATCCCCCTTCTCACCCTCTCCCCTCCCCCTCTTACCCACCCACCCACCCCCTCCCCCTCCTCCTCCCTCCACTCTCTTCCCTCCCCCTCCTACCCACCCACCCACCTCCCTCCCACCACCCACCCACCTATCCCCTTCCACCCTCTCCCCTCTCACCCTCCCCTCTCCCCTCTTACCCACCCACCCACCTCCCTCCCCTCTTACCCACCCACCCTCCTCCCTCCCCCTCTTACCCACCCACCCACCTCCCTCCCCCTCTACCCACTCCCTACCCCTACCCACCACCCACCTCCCTTACCCCTCCTTACCCACCACCCACCTCCCTACCCACCACCCACCCACCTCCCTCCCCCTCTTACCCACCCACCCACCTCCCTACCCCTCTTACCCACCACCCACCCATCCCCTTCTCATCCTCCCCCCTCCTACCCCCCACCCACCCATCCCCCTTCTCCCCCCTCCCACCCACCCCCTCCCCTCCCACCCACCCACCCAACCAAAACAAACCACGACTAACACCCCCCTCCCCTTTTTTTCTCTCCCCCACCCACCCCCCGCCCACCAGCAGGCGCGAGGGAAGTCTGGCGAGTGTGTGGGGTGCCTGTGTGGCCGAGGTGGGCGAGCAGTCTCCACGCACCCCGCCGTATGTGGGCGCCTCACCCACCAACCTGCATAAGGTGAGTTTTTTGAAAGGTTGGATGTGGTTCATGTGGAGTGTGTGAAGTGATGTGGTTCATGTGGAGTGTGTGAAGTGATGTGGAGTGTGTGAAGTGATGTGGTTCGTGTGGTGGATGTGAAGTGATGTGGTGGATGTGGAGTTTGTGAAGTGATGTGGTGGATGTGGAATTTGTGGTATGATGTGTGAATATGTGATGTCTTTATGTGGTGTGATATAGAATGATGTGTGTTGATATCTGATGTGTGAAGTGATTGGTGACGTGGTGTAATGCAGTGTATGATGTGAGGTTTTATTGAAGGTTTTGGGAGGTGTTGATACGAAGGGGCGGGGTTGATGTGGTGTTTGTGATGTGGTGGGATGGGATGTGATATGGCATGATGTAATGTTGTGTGATATGATATGACTCGCGGTAAGATGAAGAAGAGTGCGATGTAACATATACGATGTGATGTATGATGACGTGATGTGGTGAAGTGATGTGATGTGATGTGATTATGAAGCGATGTGATGTGATGTGATTATGAAGTGATGTGATGTGATTATGAAGTGAAGTGATGTGATGTGATTGTGAAGTGAAGTGATGTGATTATGAAGTGATGTGATACGATGTTTAGTGCCGTGATGTGATGAAGCGATGTATAATGGCGTGATGTGATGAAGTGATGTGACGCGATGTTTAATGGCATGATGTGATACGACTTAGTGTGATGAGATGTGATACAGCAATAAGATGCACATGATTTGGCTTGGTGTATTGTAATGCGGTATGATAAGATGTATAGTGTGATGTGAAGTGTGATGAGAAATGGCAGTGAAGTTGATCGTGGCCAGTGGATGATTGGTGATAATTGATAGGATTGGAAACGTGTCGGTCACTGTGCAATTAGTGGTTTATGAGATCTATTTAATGAGGAAATGGTAATTATCCATATAGTTTTGTGATGAAATCATCGTTATATATATATATATATATATATA